AACGTGACCTCAATGTAAAGAGGATACTTCTGTGACCTCTGCTGACCTAACAGGTCACTGGCCTTAAGTTAGCCTGAGATAAAGTTACACCCAGTGGGAGCTGGGTGATATCCACTTACTGCCATCGCCTTGTGGGAAATGTGGTTGACACTAGGAACCGTGACTTCTAACACTATACAATATTAACCGTGATACATGATCAGCAGGCTCCGAATGTAAGCGATAGTTTTATCACCTTTGCTATCTTTGTAAAATAATAACTGGAGATAAGTCTCGCCACGCTGAAGTTGCATTTTGCTTCCTGTCCTGCATTTAGCTGTATTATATTCTCTGTTGGTAAATTACTCCCTTTGTTGAGAGAAATTAACCTCAGATTTCCATATCAAAGCATTATGAATTGAGCCATTTTCTCTGCCCTCCCGTTCTGGTGAAAAGATTGCGTGGAAGGAGTCTGTAGAAGTAGCCTGCAGTGATATGCAGGCCATACAGGGCTCCTTTCTTACAGGAGTAACACTCTAACAGAGAGAATCAGCAGCTTTCTACTGAAGCGAAGAATGAGATCACTGGGCTTTTTGTGCAAGGTCAACTTCGAGGCAAGACACATCGTGTTTAAAATTCAGTCCTATCCTCACCGAGCACTTGAAACACACTGTGCCAGCCGGGGAACCTGCTTGCCATTATGCAAAGAGGCGGCGGGCTTAAAGTAAATACGTAATCTTAATGAATGCTGAGATCTGTGGAGGTGGGAGTGGGGGGAGACCAAGTCAAGTAGAGAAGGGTCAGAAACACAGGGTGAATAATCCTGTGTGTCAACAAGACACAACTAGCTCTCTATCCCAATATGTAGCCATGTTTACAGTAAACAGAATTCAAAAGTTTTCTGACATATGACATTGTTTTTGTATCACAACATATGCAAGAGACTTCAGAAAGAATCAAACTGTTTTAATGTAAGAAAGTGTTGTTGAATACATTGTCTTATGTGGAGGTTGGACAAAAAGAAAAACTAAGTAATTACTGGTGGAGATAAGAGAGATTTATGATAAAACAACAGATGCTAATGGTTACTAATAGGCAAAGGCAATTATGTTTGTAGCTACTCACAACGTTTTACTACTACTAAACACTAAAACAAATACTGTAAACCGAATGTTCATTTCCGCCATTAAAGAGCCTGCTTACATTTGCCTATTTGTCTTATATATTGTGACCTATGTCATTGGCCCCAGCTTGTCTCAGATGTATAAATTTAAAACAAAAGGACATCCATTAGATGACATGTCACACAATATAGGGGTCTTGTTCTGGCCCCGTGCCTGCTGGCTGTGTCCTTTGCTTTGCCCACTTTGCTCTGCGAGACTGCCAGGACATTGAGCCTGACACATCAGAACTGCTGCTCTCTTGGTGCCCTCTTTCATTCCCACTATCACAGAGTCAAACCCTGCAGAGACGAAGCTGTCCAGAGACTGAGCCCTGCTGGGTTTGACTGGGCCAAGATCCGATCAAGCCTCGAGGAGAGGGTCATCCTCTTCCCCGACTTCTACTTGCTATGATCTCTGAACCGATTCTAAAAGGCCTCTGACTTGATTTGAGCAGACAGTCCCCCTTGAAAGCAGCCTTTGGTTTGGCTTCTGTAGCCTGGAATGGGAAGAGCAGGGTCAGGCTACACACAGGCAGGAGAAAGCTCAAGCAAAGGCAGTGTGTGATGGGGGAGTCGGGGGGGAAATAGAGCTGATAGCCATGCTCCAGGTGCAGATGGCACACTGTTTTATGTGTGGCCTCAATGGATTATGTCAGCCAAGCTACTGGAGGCATATAATATGGAGAGATCACACAAAAACATTGTCAACCAAAATTCAAAGATTCATTAACAAAGGTCATCTCCATGACAGCAAATGCCTAATAGATGGCCAAGACTCTTGAAGTCACTGTGAGGATAAAAGCAGGCTGGATAAAGGAGCCTTGAAATGAGGACAGGAATTGTAATTTTACAATCTCACAAAAGGTTTGTGTAGTAAATTGTATTGCATTCATACAGGATGTTGTTGACAGCGTCTCATGTCATTTTAAATAACAATTTTCAAATGAAATGAATTTACCCAAAGCCTCACATCACAACAACATTTAGGATTTTTTTTTTTATACATGTAAACATTCTAAACAAAAGGAATAAGACTGTACAAACTGAGTCAGGATCGTTTATTCAAGGGTCCAATTATTAGCTAAGTAATGCTACTTCTGCACATTGTGATGGCACTGCCCCTAAGGAGCCGGGGCTGCAGCAACCCTGAAAACCAATAATGGTCAGAGGTCAGAAAAGGGGAAGCAAAGATCCAAGTCCCATCCTATTGTGTGACATGTTTCCTTCGCCTGCTCGCCCCAAAGGCTTAGTGTCAGTGTTAACACTTCAAACACTCAATATCTTCACAAAACACAAAGGACACCACTGCTTGCCATCCACATCATTTCTTCCAGGAACAGAGATATGGATCCTTCCCAAAGGTCACTGCCAGCTGAAGTTTCAATGATTAAGCAAAGCTTTGTTGTTTGACTTTTTTCCTGTAGCAAAATCTACTTTTAGGTGCAAATTGAGTAGTTTGTTCAATATTATAAAATAAAATTGGACCACATTTTATATGTCAACTTTAGATTGTAATGGGTGGTCATTTATGTTGGATAACACTTCTATAATTTAAGGTTGGAAAATCAAAATGGAATGTCAATGGGGGGGGGGGGGGAGTTAGATAAAGGAATACAAATTGCCCTTTTTACCATAATACATATCTTTGCAGCAGTATCATTGTTGCTTGCCATATAGAATAATGCTGCAACAATGATTCAAACAGTGATAATGTATAACTATGCAGAGGGCAGTTTGAGTGGGTGACTATAACACACCTACATATGTTCTTTACTATAAATATGTATTTTCTAGCACAAGGGTGATATCTTTCTTGGTAACTTTCCTTGTAGTGACACTCTGAACCATGCAGACTGTGCCTGTGAGCTGTGCTGCCGCTGAAGCTCCTGCAACAGCACGCTCCTGAATGAGTCAAAAGACAGCATTGTTACCAGACAACTGAGTCCACCGTCTACTCTGTTACACATTTATAGAATCATGCACCAGAACACAGACAATGTCGTTGGCTAATCTCACAAGACCGGGATCCAATTTCAAGCAGGCACAGGTGATTCAAGAATCAATCTGGTTAGCTTCCTGTTTTTAGTCTGCTGGTGTTATAGTCTGGGTGTAACTCAAAGGGATCTCCAGTTACCCTGGAATGTGTTCCTGCTCCTAAGGTGGTGATAAAACACCTTATTTTATGGGTCGCTGATTACTCACTGTACCCTGATGTGTGTGCTGAAACCAATCTTAGCAAGCACAAAACTAGTGGACTCTCCATATTTACAGTATCCTCCAATTTTGTGTTTATTTTCCATTTTTCTTGTACAACTACACACACAAAAAAAGAAAAATCTGTGGCAGTTAAATATATAATTGTTTGTTCAAGTGTGTTTTGCACAGTATGAGCCCTTCCAATTGCTGCACCAAGTAGAATGCACTGCAGGCAGTCTCTTGAGGGAAGGTCTCATTTTCTGCCTCCCGCCGTGAAATATTCAGTCCGGCCTGAAATAATATGGGACTAGTTTCAAGGCTTAGCACTTTTCAAATATGCTGGCAATAATGGACAGGGCATCAAATGAAGCACAGCCTCTCAAAGCAAGGGGAGCAGAGGTTTTGAATCCACAGCCAGGGTTTCACATAACACCACAGACAGTTGAAGTGCTGTCTACATTTATAGTGTAGTGATTAGTTATTGGAGGGATGAGCCTGTGAATTCTTGCCAACATTGATTCAGTCATACTGTACAAGGTCTATTTGGTTTGGGCATGTTTAATACAAATTCATATCCCAGTATTATATAAATACCTAAGTTGGATACTGTAGAGTGCCAAATTATATTTCCATAATTCACTGCTTTTTGCATATCATCAGGGAATCTGATTTTTATTCAGTCTTAAAAAGAAAAGAGAGGAAAATCAAGGGTGCACCATAAATGCACAGAGGAGTGCAGAAGAATGTTATAGATGGGGCTTTGGTGAAAGGATTCAAGGATTTAACAATCCCACATCCTCTCAGCCTGTCCTTCATCTCTAATAATCAAGCTTGGCCACAGAATATCCCTCTGGATGGGAAAAAAAACATGTTGCCTGTCCGCCTCTCACTCATCTTTAGACTGCCAGTCTTGGGTCTTCCTCTTGAAGTCTTCTGTCACATTTATGGCTTCAAACACTAAGCACAGCCTTTTTTAACTGACTGCCATGTCTTTAAAGCTAGATATCTTTTTTGTACTACATTAGCATGAGATGAAGGGCAGCGCGTCTGATGCAAAGGAAGCCATGAGAAGGCTGGACCACAGACACTATGAACTTGTTTGTTGCTGTACACCAAAGGCCACCAAAACAAGCCAATGGTTTCAGCTCAGGTAAATTAAAAGTGTGTAAGTCCATAGTATTCCTGCATATTCATTGGTACTCTTGAGACAAAACTGAAGTTCTTGAATTGGATGTATATTTGGTTCACAGACCGAAGTCAAATTTAAATTGGATTTTCCAGAAATGGTGCGTGCAGGGAGATCCAATTTATATCACATAATATTCACAAGCAATACAGCACACTGTATAGACCAAGTGTTGTGCTGGAGTGCAAAGGTATGTCAAACTGTTCTCATCTGCTCTCATTTACAAGTGCAGAGGAAACACAGTGACATCTCAGCATATGCTTAATTATCAATTATCTATTAATCTAACAAAGCTAATAAACATACATATCTTGCCATCATATTTACACAGTAGTATATTCTATCTATCTATCTATCTATCTATCTATCTATCTATCTATCTATATATATATATATATATATATATATATATATATATATATATATCTTTCTTTCTATAAAATGAAAATTAACTACACTATTGTGCTTACTGCACAATTAGAAACATTAAATATAAATACGATGTTTTATTTAGTAATGATATGTCGTACAGGAAAAGTTTTTTTCTTCACTCTCAAACACACAATCAAACCTCAAAACAACTAATGCGAATAATTATAATAATAGTAGGCTAATAGTAATGATAATAAGCAACGAGATGTATTGTAAAAATGTTTAGGGTTTGAAAAGTAAAAAAAAAAAAGAGTTTATGTATTTCTTGCATGCCCGGAAGGCTGCCGTGACTGAAAGCTCGACGAAGGAGCGCCTGAAACCGGAGCGTCCACTGAGCGGCGCCGCAGCCCGCAACTTCCACGCGACAGCCAGCCGGCGTTTCCTCCCTGCAACACGCTGCAGGCCAATCCGCTCACTCACTCCGTGTTGGGTTACAATGACAAGGGCCCTGTCTGAACCACGACTTTTAGAAAGATAATATTACAGGTAGGTGCAAGCCACGGACCGTGTCACTTTCGATAGACAAATTAAGCATTGAAAAACAAGACCGTGACCCAGAAATTCTCGCTTTAATCGGGTCACCGTGCTTGTTTTCAGCTCTGAGTGATAATGGCACCTCTCACTGTCCTTAGCATTTGAAGTCCCCTTACCGCAACCTGTAGCTTTTGGGGCAGTGAAAATTGTCCAGCTGGACGCCTTGTATTTTCCAATATTGATGCCTTTGTATGGTTTGAGCCATGTACACCTGCCTGCTGATAGCTTTCAACGTTTTTTTTTTTTTTTTTTTTAAAGCTAGTTGAAGGTCAGTTCTCCTCTCTAATGAGCTGCTGTGAGGATTTGTATCAGCAGGGCTAAAACCAAGGATGTAGATAATGTATATAGGCTACAGCTTTAATTCACTTGTAACTCTAATGTTGGTCAAATGAAAGTGTAGGATGCATTTAAAACAAACAAGCATGGAGTTATTTTCTGCATATCTAATCACTTGTGTTTTTATTGGTGTGTTTTCCTTAGCAGCCTCACTATATGGCGGTCTTGGCATATCTTTTTAAACACTTAACTTTTAGTACATATATGACCACATCCTTCTAACCATTTAGTAAACCCTACACCATGCGGGAGGACTGTAGTGAGTCAAGTGAAGAGCTGCAGTAAAAGAAGGGTAAATCTCCTTTCCTTTTGTTGCACATGGGAGAAACAGCCTGAAAAGTCCATGAAGGCTTATCGGGTGTCGAAAGAAATGCAGAAATGCAAGCTGAAATGTCTCTGAAATAGGCCGAACAGAGTCTTTTGCTCCTACAGGGTTTTGTTCAGGGTTCCACTGAGAAAGCCCAATGCAAAGTGGGCCTACAGCCAACTGGGATGGATTGTAGGGTGGAACCTTAACAGATGGGAAATAGGATGAAGGTGAACACAAGGTCAATCTGAGCTTCAGTGATAAAGCTGTGGGCACCGCTCATAGCAGTGTTTTAAAAGTTGACTTAAGAAAACAGATTGTGTGGTCAGAATAAACTCTTAAGACCATATTGGGCCATTTTTTTTCTTTCCAGGCTTCTTTTGTCTAGATTGCCACAGGCGGAAGCAGCAGACACCAAATGGTCAAAAAATTGTTATCATTATGTTTGTCTGGAAATCAGCAGAATGGGGTTGTTGATTTCCAGCGGGTGGGGTTTCCTTTGTCCCTATTTTTTTTTTGTTCTAACCCAGATTTTCATGTTTAACAGGTCCACAGCTGAGCCGTCTCCCTGTACACAATTGAGACGGAGGAGGTTAAAGCACTCTGAACGCATGGGACAATATTGCAGGTAATTAATATGTCAGCTCAATGATGAACTTCGTCAATACATCTATCGCCACACTTACTTGTAACTGGAGTAGCTCGTGGGATGCTGTAGAGAGCGCAGACAGAGAGTACATTTGTCCATTAGTAAACACTTCATAGTGTGTGTTGTGATTGGGGAGGTAGCAGGGCTCCTCTCTGTCCGGTTGCAGTCATTTTCGCCCGTCACCTCCTCATCGCTGTAAAAACACTTGCTGTGGTTTGGTAGATTAACAGAGAACCCCCTAATGGAGTAATTACACCGAGCCAAACATCTATTTTTCACCTGTGCTCTGCCATTATTCTCTGTCCCCTATCCACTCCATTGGAAGTCACTTACTCTCCTTACAATGAGTTATCATTGACTGCCATTTAGACGTTCTGGAGCAATTTGTCTTACTGCAGCCACGCGCTGGCCTCATTGCAAAGAACAATCATTCTCCCTCCAATATATAAAACATTCATGGGGAAAAGGAAGAGAAAATGCCCCACAAACAGATAGTAGAGAGTGGCTAATAGATACTATAAAGGTGACAGACAAGGAAAATAATGTAGGAGATTACTGGAGCAGGAACAAGCCGGCACAACCAGTACAAAAGCTTCAGGGACTGTACCGCTGAAAAAGACAAATGTGTTAAATGGGTAGTATGGCAGCAATTGGTGGTGGTAATTGCTGTTGTTGCAAACATACTATAAGTCTCAATTTTAAATTTCAAATCAAAACGTTTTGTCATTGTAATTTATTGTATTTGTCTTTCATTTGTTGTCATATTTAGTCAAGTTTACCTAACATTTAGGTCCAATTTGTTTTCTCATTTTGGTTCGATATTCTATTACTCCATATTTGTTATTGATTGGCTTTAGGTCCTCGATTATTCTGTTTTTTTTCTTTTTCAAGCTTTAGATCATTTGTTGCCATGTAGTGTGTAAAGAGGAAACCTTTTTCATCTACTGGCTTGTAGGTCACTGTCATTTCACCGAGTCACAGTCTGAATTCGCACCAAACTAACAGAAGAAGTTTGCAGAGATAGAAAGTATGTGCTTTGTGTTAGATTTCCCCTTGTGATAGTGTAGATACATTTCTTTAGCATTTAGCATACTTTTGTCTTATGCACAATAGTACAGCTTCTGATAGATTCTTCAACAATAAATCAGTTTAACACACTATTTATTTGAAGACCAGCATTCATTTTGGACAGTGGCTCGACTGCTGTGCACAGTCCAGCACACATTCCATTCAGTCTCCCCAGACGGGGTTAATCACGTTCGTAACTGAGTGTTGTGTGAGATTAGTCTCTCTCACTGCTTAACACAATGACAAACAACCATTATTCTTTTTTCTTGCACTGATAATCGGGACAACTTAAACATTTCTTACTAGCACAAGTGAAACCATTAATCCTCAGTGATACTGCTGATAAGTGGTGACTTTGGAGTAATGGCCCTGTCACCTTAAAAATAGAGAGACAATTTTAACAATTAAAACAAGATGGCCATTATATTTTGTGCATCCCATCTTTGTGTGTCATCAGGAGGGATCCATCAGTGGTAATAGACTAAATAATGGAATGAGTTTTTGTTGATTATGGATTTTAAGGAGGAATGTCTTCCATACAAAGATGATCAGTTTAAATACTTGAATATTAATATTAATTTTGAATAAAAGTTGATTTTGCCTCTAGAGCGGCGATAGTCAAATAATCAATCAACAATATAAGAAGGCAAAGATTCATTTTTATTCAGACTGTGATATTATCTTTAACAAAAGAATGACACACTCATGGAATTACAACTAAACATGTTATTCTGCTTTCCAGTTGTGCCATATACAACACTTCTATGTCCTTCAGTTGTACTTGCAGACAGTCCAACTTGACTACAGTGTGTGTTGTTGTTGTAGTTGTTGTCGTGATACACCAGTCGCACTGTATGGCTGGCCCTCCACCCTTTTGAACACTTTTTAATGTGACCTGGAAACATGATGATAACGGCTTAAGTATGAGCTTACCACCATTGCCACAAGGAGATGTTCAAGATTTCACATAGGCTAATTGAAATTCTCTCACTTTAATCGTTTTCACCATCATATGTTCTACCTGTCATTATGGCTGTCTCCAGCACTAATCAGTTGTTGATGTAGCTCCTAGAGGTGTTACACTATAACTGACAGGATGATAATAAACAGCTATCTTGACATTAAGGAAAAATATGTATTAATCACACTCTACATTTGGTTCAGGTTATATTGTTAGCCTTATTGACAATTTGGTAATGCTAACTTTGAACACAGCTAAGTTATTATAGAGAATTATTAGAATAAGACAAAAACATGCCCACTTAATTGCTCAAGGCTGCTCAAGATGGGATAATTTGTTCACGTTTGAGTTTGAATCATTTTAGTTCTTGTATGTTTCATCAAGCACACTGACTCTCAACGAGTGTCCTGTTTTAGTCAAAGTAGAACTAATTAGCCAGTTGAATATGAGTTAGCACATATCATCCCTTTAAGAGAGATGTTGAAACATCTAAATAACTATAGGTTTTGCTCACATACTTCTGTCTTTACGCTGTGCACAGTACAAATTGGCCTCATTACTGAGGGCCAATTGGCTCCATCGGCAGAATCAGTTTTGAAAAGTATTATGATAAGATAGTGTTTTCATACCTCATAGATTCCTGCTATACTACACTATTATTTGTTAGTGCGTCATCCTACATGCCAAACTCACCATTCCTTGGCAGCGACACAGTCCCAGGCACTTGATACTTAGTATTTCTATGGCCGTTGGTCTGTTTTGATCAAAGGGGTTCAGGGGCCTAAGTTTCAAATCCCCCAAAGCCCATTTGGCTGCTCTTTGTTTAGCCCATTGGAATTCTGACCCCATGCTTCTCAGACTTTGAACTCTAAGCTTGGAAAAGCCGTATCGCTTCTTTAAACACATTATCTGTGGGCTAGGTTTTAAGAATATCACTAATCATCTTAAGGTTTTAGTGAACTGTGGCAGTATCGTTGAGCCTCGGGGCCCATTTACTGACCAGGGCACTGTAAGAAATCTCCTGTGAATTATATGATAACTTAATGGCAGCATCATTGGTGTTTTGTAAATTCTTTAAATTTAACATAACTTTTGAGTCATACCAGGGTTGGTACAGTTTTGTGGAAAATATGGCACTTCAGAGAAGTGTGATGTTTTTCAGTTTGAGTTTGGCATGACTGCTTGTAGTATCATCTATGTCCATCCAAATACAGTATTCTTTTTTTTAATTTTCATTTCACTTATTTAGCTCTGACGACCATAGTTTTCTTTATGTGTCAGGTTATAACTTGCTCCTACACATCAGAGGACTTGACTTGAAGTTTAATTGAAACTGTTAATGCTGCAGTTTAATAAAATATTTATGTATTACTCTCAAGAAATTGGCATGGCCTGCATGCATTTTGAAAGGATGATACAGCTCATGCATATTATACAACGATAAAAAGTGGCATTATGAAGGAACGTCTGCAAAACCTGATTGGTGCTAGTTGTTGCATAGGTTTTGCTTGCAAACATGTTCAGCTATGTTGGTGCTGCTTGATTTGTGTTTTTTTCTTTTTGCAGAATCATTTTTTAAATGTCTAGTTTATTGTTAGTCTGAATGGAAACAGTAGATGATGTTTTTGTCTCAGTACTAGTAATTGTTGGCACTTTTTCTTTTGCAGCATCACTCCATAGCAGTGGTGTTGAATGTAAAAAGACACCCTACCACAAATCGTACATTGAAATAGAACGTTTAAAGTGATTAGTGAGTGCAGTCTGAATTTTGACGATGTTTTATTTCATTATTCAAATGGCCATATGTTGTATTGTTCTATTGTTGATCATGCTCTTTGTCGAAACTAAATAGTTGTAAATTGCATAGAGAGTGTTTAGTTGGTCGTTAAAAAGACGGACCAATCAGGTATGTTTGTGAACACATTGAACACTACCTGGATGAATAATTATCCATATGTCAGCCACATCTGCTTCGTCTTTCTGAACACTTTTCATTACCTGCAGCGCAACATCTAATAGTTGTTGATGATGCAGATGGATTTAAACTTATAGCGTTCTAGACTGGTTTAAATACAAGTGTCTTGTGAGCACATAGTCTTGAGAGAGAGAGAGTGTGTGTGTGTGTGTGTGTGTGTGTGTGTGTGTGTGTGTGTGTGTGTGTGTGTGTGTGTGTGTGTGTGTGCGCGCATGTAGTTGCATGCAAGTCTGTTTGTGCCCATCTCACACCTCCTCAATCTCATCAGCCCCCGTGCATAAGAGTTGGCACCTTGAATCACATTGTCTTCATCTGGAAATATTTCAGCTGCATTTGTGCCACTCTAAAGGGAGATGAAGATAAAGGAGAAGAAGGTAAAAACACACCCTGTTGTGTGAATCCTAGAGAAGGCCTTGAACCCTGCCATTCATCCCTTTCACTTCATCAGCTGAGTCTAATTGCCAGAGAGGACAGGATACCCAGGGCCCAATTGTTCCTTATCCTCTTTGGAGCCTCTGAGGCATGAAAAGCGAAAGGCCTGCTTTTGATCTTTTTTTTTTTTTTTTTGTTAGTTTTTTTTCTTTTTTTTTTTTCTGTCATCCCCTACTATCCTTCCCCTTAGAGTGAGACACTCCATTCACACTGTGCCCCCTTCTTCAACCACGCAAAATAATTATCAAGCTCTGCTTCATCAAATAATGGTAGATATTGGAGGTCATGATGGGGAGGGCCAGAGGTCTGTAGGGGTGGCCCCAGGACGTGGTGGAGCTCCCAACTCATCTTAGAGGCATGCTCCTTAGCTGTGGCTACCTTTATATACCTTGACCCCGGTTTTCGTTTGTCTGTCCTAATGAGACCCTCTCATGCAGCCAATGCAACAGAGGTCTTGCAATGGCAGGGTTGGGAGGCCAAAGTACAATGAGACACAGGGCTGTGCTCAGACAAGGGGCGCATCTGTGCTATCTTATTAGGCCT